TGGAGAAGCCGTCGAAGAAGGCCAAGACGAACGACGAGACCGAGGTGGTGGCCAAGACGCACGTGCCCTCGCTCCTCGAACGCGGCTCGGCCAAGACGTCGACTGCCATTGACGCGACGGTGGAGCAGGACGTGGACGAAGACGAGGACGAGGACGAAGCGACGCTCGGTGAACGCGTCCAGGCGCTGGCCGACGAACTCGAACACAGCGAGAACGAAGACGAAGACGCGGACACGGTCTTGACGGACCAGTACCGCAGCACGTCGCGCGTCAAGGCGCAGGCGTCGTCGACGTCGCTCGTCTCGGTGCTCGAGCAGGCGCTGCAGTCCAAGGACAATGTGCTGCTTGAAAACTGCCTCCGCGTCCACGACCTCAAGGTCATTGACGAGACGTGCCGTCGCCTGAGCCCGACCAAGGTCTTTCCCTTCGTGCTGCTGCTTGTCGAGAAGCTGGAGAAGCGCCCGACGCGTGGTGCGACCATGTGCGTCTGGATCAAGTACCTGCTTTTGAACCACACGGCGTACCTCATGACGGTCCCGGACGTTGTCGACAAGCTCTCGGGCCTCTACCAGGTATGATTTTTTCGCGCATTTTCCTTGATTTGAGATGCTCACGATGGCTCGTCTAGTCGCTCGACGCGCGCCTCAAGGTTTTCCCGCAGCTGCACAAGCTCAACGGCCGCCTGAACCTCGTCCTCGGCCAGATTGCGGGCCGCGCCAACGCGATTGCGGTCGACGAGACGCCGCTGGTGACCTACCGCGAAGACGATGAGGACGCCGGCGAAGACGAGAATGACGAGGAAGAGACGGCCGACGACGACGACGAGGCCGAGGATGACGAAGACGACGACGACGACGAGGACTCGGAGTAACTTTGTGCGCACGATAGATTGATTACAACTACTAATAGATATTAACAACACCACCATATACGTAGATGTGTCGTCTTTAAATCGCAGCTCCTTGTGGCAAGCGAATAAATAAGCTATTTATTCCCTTGCTTGTGGGCAGGATGAAACACCAACACGCTCGATGTGCCAAGCCAAACAAGGGTTGTTCGTATGGACCGTGACGAGGCGCAGCAGAGACTGCCCACGAGCGACGCAGATATCGACGAGGCCGCTCGAACGGACGTCCGACTTGAGACCGGCACCTATTCCAGTGCTCCAGCGTTGGCAACGAGTTGCCGGCAAAACGACAGACAAGTTTCGAGACCTTCTCAAGGCGGCGCCACGTCGACTCGAGGCGTCAACAAGACAGGATGGAGATGATATTGCTTTCCACGATTGTCTGCATCCTCGCCATCATCATGGCCAATGCGGCCTATGTCAAGTAGTTCAAGCGAGACCTGAACACGACAAGTGCCCATGTCATCAAGCCTCAAGACAAAGTTGATGAAGCCAAAGAAGCGTGCCCACCAGAAAGTCCAATGCCCAAATGGGTCAAGAGTCCTTGGATAGAATGGCACCTTATGACAGTCCCCACGTTGGATGCTTGGACAGCTTGCGTGGATACATTTGGACAGATCGCAAGCATCAGAATACAGTTCGGCCAATCCCTGAGCTTCATTTGAGCCACCGTTAGTGCAGTTCGATCATTTTCAAAGGCACGTGGTCATGGGCAATGTCCTGGGCAGTCTCTCGAGTGCTCTGGCTGACACGGCCTTCTAGGCGCTGGTCCCGCCGGACGTCTTTGGCACCGAGCATTGGGTCTACGTCGAGTGCGAGCGCATTACCTTAGCCTGGCACGTCCGACCGATCCCATCGGGCCGCACAGTGGCGTCGATGCACGTTCAGCCGAACCTCCTTTCCGCAAGCGTCCAACCCTGGATGCTCGTCTCGAGCTTCCGCGAGCATATCGTGTCCAAGCGCGAAGCCGATGCAGGCTCCGCGACGTACATCTTGTCGTACGTCTGCTTTGCGTTTGCCGGTACCTGGAACTACGGCTTTGTCACGGGCAGTCAGTGGCGAGAGGCCACGGGCTACGAGCTCGTCATCAAGGCAGAGACGGGCGCGGTCCTCATTTCCTTGAACGACCCGACACTGCAGGTGCTGACTCTGGCCGGCTACGCGTTGCGGCCCTTTGATGCGCTGCCGCTGGCGTCGCACCCCGTCACGGCAGTGCAGACGGACACGGCGACGATCGTGGACCACTTTCTTGCCCATGGCCGTAACGCAGCGCTCGACTACGCGGCTCTCGATCTCTTGAGCGCGCATTTGTCACCGCCGCCGGCAACCGACATGCTTTTGCCATGCATCCTTCTCGACGGGACGCAGTGCGAGTTCTCGGTCGCTCAAATCCTCGATGTTGCCCATGCGACCTTTCAACGGCGGGGAAGAGAAGACACGCGGGCACTGCGACGACCAGTTGCTGGCGGGCTACGTCCGCGCGACGTCGACGACACGACAGGACAAGGTAAAACCTCTATCGCCACTATTTTCGCCGACGATGTGGCTGCGTAGAGCGTCCGACCAAGTTGATCAAGTCGTATCAAACCAACGATGCGGGCACGCTGACGGCAGCCGACGTCCCCGACCTCGAGCGAGCTCGAGTGGGCGCAATGCTCCAGACGACCAAGCTTGCGACCATTTTTGACCACTATGGCGGCTTTCCACCGTTTGTCTACGTCCGCAAGGAGATGAAGATGGCGTGGGACCTCTTGCGCGTCAACTTTACGCTGTATGAGAACGGAGACGGCGGGGCGTTTGCTGCGCTCCAAGTCGCCGCGAGCAATGCCGCGGGCAACGCCGCGGGCATCACCACGTCACCCGCGATGCCTCCAGTGTCGTGGCTACCCCTGCTTGTCACGGGGTCGCCGGGCGTCGGCAAGTCGGTGCTGCTCGTGCTCTTTTGCGCTTACCTCGGCGTGTACCATGATTTCAACCTTCTGCTCTTGCGCGCTGTAAAGAGCCAAGCCACCGTCAGCACGGACGCCGTCGCTCGCACGGACGCTGTTCTTTGGTTTCGCGGCGGCCACGTCACAAAGTACCCGTGCTTTGACCGGCAAAACCTCTCGGATCTCATGGAGACGTTTCGAGCAGAAAGCCGGGTCCACCGGAAAAAAAGTACCTCCTCGTCGGCGACGGCTACCTCGAGTCGGACATTCGCCACTCGTGTGCGGTGATTGATGTGTGCCACATCATTTCGTCCTCGGCG